GGGAATGCTCTCTGCCCTCCTTTACAGAAGTTCACCAACTCCAAACTACCTACCTATAGTAACAGCTATATACAAAACTACTGCATCAGAAGTAAACCAAAGCCACTGCTCTAGTTACAAAGCACCTGGTTTACATTCTGTTGTACTTTTTAAGGTTGCGAAGGCACATGATCATTTGGCAAACTGCAAAGACTGTTTTGGGGGATCCCTATGTAAACCACTTAGCAGAAAGGGTCTTGGTAGCTCTTTTCTAAAGAAAAGAGATAAGCTAGTTTTTCCCTGAATTTGCTCTTGCTGTACTCTATATTCTGCAGTTTCTAAAGTTTCCTCCTTCCACAGTTTCGTCGGTATTGACTGCTGTCATGGTGCTGACTTAGTAGCTTCTCTGCTAAGAAGAAGCTTGAACTTAAACATAAAGAAAAGGTTTTAACAACTTCGCTTTTCTGATAATTTTATTTTCTACGTAAGAAGTAATGAAGCAATGAAGAAGTAATGAAGCAATTTAAAATGCCTGCCAAAACAAATACGAAGTGCAAACAGATATTAACAAGGCTGCAGTAAACAACGTTTGTTTCATAAACCTCGGTGTAAAATGCTAACAGAAAACCAGAACACCCAGCACCTTTAAAGTGATGCCCTGACAGTCCACTCCTACAACTGCTTTTTAACTGAGCCTGACTCTGCCTGGAAGCTTTGCCTGTCGCATTGTGCTACTGCTGATACTTTTTTCAACAGACAGCAGACATGTTGTCTGTGGTACTAGCAATAGTTTGTGCTGCACTCATAGTCAAAAAGGGAAGGAAATCTATAGGCTGCAAAGGTGTGAAATGTCTACATGGTGCCTCCCTAAATTTAGCCCCTCCAACTATCAAAACTTCAACTGGTACTTGTTTGGGAGTTTCTGGGGATCTGGCTTCCCCAACTGTTCTGTAAAATGCTGGATGCATTTATATCACCAGGCAAACACAGAAGCAAACCTGTTTATGTGTGATCTTCAGTGTATTCCCTCCCCCCCCCCCCCCCGATATCGGCATTTGTAGAAAGATATGGTACTTCTCAACAGTCAGCATTTCATTCATTTTATGTCATGACAGCCAAATTCTGCCTCTGATGAGCACATACGAATCCAAGTGATGTTGAGAGGCCACGGTTAAGATGGCAGTACTTGGCCTCAAACATTCTGCAGCATCACCAGCTGCTAGAGCATTCAAGTACATGAAAATATGATTTTAGATAAGCATAAAAAGCAGAAGTGGATTAATTTAGTACTCTGCATGAGTTTAGCAAAAAAGAAACGACAAGGCTAATTGTATCTAAGGTCATGTAGACTTAATTCATGCAGAAATTACTTTCAAAATATCTAGGTCTCTACGCTCCTACCATTTGGTTTAAGCTCCACTATAATGTTCCAGTTCCAGCAAATACGCCGCAGGAAACAATCACATACTGACAGGGAAGATGTAACAGGTATCAGGCCTCTTCTAACCATATAGAAAAGGAAAGGCAGAGGGGAAGGTGTATGCATGGTTAATAAAGACGTCAATAGTTGGGATTGGATACTGGTAGTTGTGAAAATATTAGATACTAGATGATGTAGAGCTAAAAGCAGTACGACTGTCTAGATGTTTGTCCCAACACACACACACAAAATATGTACTAACATTTCCGTACTATGTGCTCATGGTTGGGATACCACAGAGAAGCTTAAGAAATTTCATATAATGGACATGAATGTTATCGGTCATTTCAATTTACTTCCTTCATCCCACTGCTATACAGGGCACTCAATTCTCGTCTACTCTTACCTCCCCATTCACTAAACATCTACAGGGCACCTTTAAGACTGATTCTGATGGCATGCAAGACATCTAGAAAAACTGAAGGAAAAGATGAAAAAAAATAATTCCCAATTATTTACAAACCAAACTTCTTCCAAAGTTTTGCATGAGTATTACATGGGGATTACATGGGACCTCTTACAGACAAACACACGTTACTACAGCTATCTGGAGGGAAACAAACAAACGTGAAAACCAGTAGAAATGCATCCTGAAAGGACTTCTCTAAACAGCAGCCAAACAACTTGCACATTCCTCGGGGAAAAAAAAAAAACAAAACAACCCAAACCAGAAAAACAAAACTACAAACAAACCAACCCCAATAAAAAACCCCCAAAGATCACGTGTTACTTATAAAGTGCTTTGCATGGACAAGGATAGCAATTTTCCTTGTGCTTTTCCTACGGGCTCAAGAAGCATGTTGTGGACTAATGGGTAATGACTTCACAAAAAATAAGCTCATTTTAAGCAAAGACAGAATGAAATTCCTAACAGTTATATTTTAGCAGACAATCTTCTGCCAGAATGACCTGGTAGAAGGAAACTACAGCTTTTAACAAGCTCTGTGAAACAAATGACTGTTGAACCACCTGTACATACTAGCTCTGATAACCATTTCTTTCGAGAGGATATTAAATTCCAGCATGCTCGACACGTACAAATTCGGCCGCAGCCAACAGAGGGGCTGGAGCAACGCGCGGGGCGGAAGGAGAATGAGCAGCGACTACTTCACCCTCTGGGAGTCTGCACTGTAAATGCTCTCACCTGCCTGCTGGCCCCAGTGGCCCCAGGCTCCTTCCACCTCTTGGGTACTGGCCTCAGATGGTCACCAGGGAGCACACGGATTTCACTGTCTGCACACCACCGCTCACTCATTAGCTTCTCCATACTGGAAAGTGGCTATTGCTACTATTTAAATTCCTGCCAATCTCAATAAGGAAAAAAAAAAACCTTACGGCGTCTGAAGAACCACAGCAGACAAGAAAAAAAATTGTGCTTTCTCTTTTTTTTGTGTTTTTTTTTTGTTTTTTAAAATGCATCCTGTACACAAAATCAATTCTATTCATGTACCAACATGAATCACTTCATTCTTGTAGTGACTATTAAGTCATTCACTATTGCTGTCTTGCTAATGTTTGTGGAATAAATATGAATACACAGTATTTCAGTTATAATTCCCACTTCAGATTGGTCCAGTCCCTATAACCCCAGTAAGTATTTGCTGACAACATAACAGACTACCAGCAACACTGCAGAACTCTGGGGGTTTAAAAGCACATTCCACTACTGATGTGCATTTCTCCCTTAGCCTGGGAGCAACCTTCTGCAGACAGAAAACAGTCCAATTCTCCTAGGGAGAGAAGGACAACGTCCTCACCCAATAAACCCGTGTTTAGCACGGACACCACATTCATACACATTTAACTCCTTCATTTATTTGTCATGACTTTGTTTAACACCTCCCCCCCAGCAAGAACCTCCCAGCTAGAGGGGGGAGTCGGTTCTCCTGCCTCACCTGGAGTGGTACAGGGCAGATAGGAATCAAATTCTGACAATTCCTGTCTGAGCTTGAATTTCTTTCTAATGTGGTCTGACTTGCCTTCTGTACAAATAATTTACATGTAATACCACATACCAGAGAACTCTGCAAACAGATCACATCACAAGATATTCTACGAGAGGTAAACGATGTGCAGAACTTTATGAGTTGTTTTTTCCCTGACTAGGTAACTTGTCAAAAAGCTACCAACCATTTGAAAACCAGGATTGGAGGACAGGAAAACAAAGCACTCTAATGGAGATAACCGCCACCTTCATCCTAGTTTGCAAAGTGTACAAAAGGGAATGACAAATGGAAGGGAAGAGATGACAGGGAAGAAAGCAATGAGAGGAGAAGTAGTCAGCGTGGATCCAGCAAGTACCGTTTTGTTTTGATCTAACAACTTGCCATTAGGACAAGATGCTCCACATTTACACACACACTTATCAGAGGACGTTTAGTTAACAGGATAAAAATCCTTTAAAAAAAGCTCCTGAAAGTACCAAAACATAATTTTCGGAATGTCTAATTCTAGGGGGTTCTGTATTTGTATTCAATTCAACCTGAGAACTTTTTTCCCCATTTATGAAAACATTACATATTGGTAAGGTACCTGGCATTAACCTGCACCCTAATTTAAAATAAAACTTTTAAAGTAGGTACATACACCATTCACCGTCTGTATCAGGAATTGTACAGACTCAGATGCTGTGGTAGCATCTTTGATAAATACATTGTATCATATGATACAAAAGAAAAAAAATTAAAAAGAGGACAATCTCGCTACATTTTTTTTTTTTTTAAACTTCAGTTTGTTGCTGGACCAACAAAAGAAGGATCTACCTGATCCTTCTCAAAGACATTGTATATGCACACACCAAGAAAATACTGGAAAAGGTTAAGGTTGGTGGTTGTTTGTTTTTTGAAGAAGTGATAAAGTAAATCTGAAAAAAGGTGCAGCAGCATCCCCTTTTCCTTCAGGTTAACCTCTTTGCCTTTAGAGTAACATCTTCTCCAGCTCCCATCACCCCCCACTTTTGATTTTACTGGAATAAAACCCAGTAATATAGACAGATTTAGGTGTTTAACATTGTAATACAGTGAAAAGGGGATACTGCATTGTCCATAAATCAGTGAGTACACCGGGAAAAAAAAGATCAGAACGGAGGATGATTCTTTTAAATTAGCACTCATCAGATATTCAGCCTCTGATGGTACGTTGTTAGAGGGAGAAAGCCGACCGGCAGACCATCCAAAGCAAGTCTCCTAAGTTGCAGCAGCAGTTCCATCCCCTCATGCCCGAGCACCACAGTCAAACCACGAGCGCTCTCTCCTCTCTCCTGGGAATGATGCCAACGGCACAGGCAGCCACTGCGGGTCTCCGAATGCACGTGGTGGTTTGTGTTGAAGGAGAAACACTGGCAGCAGAGGATTCTGGTTCCCAAAAAGGTACTTTTTCCCATTGTGTTGGACTGGCAGTTCCATTCTGCTCCACTTTTGAGCTTATGGATATCTTTTCTAAATTGCTTTAGGTTTTGCGGAGCAGAATAGAGTTTTGATGTTAAGAAACTGTAGGAACACAAGACTTAAATAACAGAGTGGGTGCTGCCATGGTGCTGTGGCTACTTGAACGCTGCAAATTCTCCTGTAGAGGGAGGACAAGAGCTTGGTTTAAATAGGTGATTTCAGTTACTAGGTAGTCAGAGATTTTCTCCAGACTAGTTGAACGTTAGGCTGAATATAAAAGATGTTAAAAAATGCAAACTGTTAAAAATTAAAGCACAAAAGAATATGTAGTGAAAGAACATTGAATACAGACCCAGCATATTTTACCGAAAAAGAATTTCTTGAAAGCAAGCTGTACCCATTCTTCCCAGGATAGAGGTCTAAAAGTTCAAACAAAGTTTAATTCCATCATGCATTTGAAAATAAAATGCATCAGTTGAATTTCACTTTAAACTCCCTATTGCACATATATCCTCCTGAAAAACAACAATTGCAATAATGTGTCAGACTGCAAACTAATTTCTATTCTGCTGTAAAACTGGTTTAGTAATGAAGAACTACTTGACACACCCATTAACCTTTAAAGGCTATATACAGTAAAGTGCCTGAGTATTAAAACAGTATTAAAGAATGATAGAATCTGATTTAGAGACCAGCATGGCAACCTACTGTGAGAAAAATAAGAATAATGAGATTGTCTACTCACTCCCAGACCAGAAATTAAGCCTCGCTAATAAGGAGGACAACAAATAAAGTGACCCCATGCTTTCTTCAGAATTACTGAATAAACAATAATTCTATGCAGTGCTTTCACATGCAATGATCTCCTGAAATTCTGTCGGCATGCCACGAGGCAGACTGCTAGTCCCCTTTTTGCAGATGGTGAAACTGGCCCAGAGTAAAATCACTACCCAAAGTCTTAAGAAGTTTGCCAGAAAGTTGAATAGAAGCTGAAACTGAGATACTCATCCTCTTAACCTTATACTTTAACCAAAAAAATCTCCCTGCCACCCACAAAGAAATTGTATTCTATAGGATTTTTCAGGAGCGTCGTCCAACTATGCTTAACCAAAAGGACTCAGGAGCAAGAGAAAAAGAAATGGACATACATCTTCCCATTGTTGGTCTCCTCATGAATTTTGGGTTAGTTTCCTGAGAGCACTCCTCAGAGCTCTCCTAAAAATAAAGGACTGATAAGCAGACAGAAGAGACCTTTTGTGCTATTCAACAGGAGGGTGTTGACACCTCTCTTGGTGTCCTTCCACCCTTTCAAAGACCAAGTATTCTGTTGGTTTTGGTTTTTCTTAAGATTCTTATTCTGAATATTGGAAACGAACCAGAAATATCCCTGTAAAAAGAATTTTAGGCCGATAGCATTAATTCCATGGAATGTCTTGCTCTATAAAGAAGGAAACCAAGAAAACGATCAGCAGTCTGCATGGGGAGGGGGAAGAAAGGGCATCTACCAGGCCTGGTGGCAGCAGCTGACCTAAGGGAACATGAAGAACGCAGGGAGAGGGGAGAGAGGGCTCTGTATGTCATAGGAAATGAGAAGGGAGTGCACCCAAGCGCTACAATAAGGGTAGCTGGCACGGGGGCTATGACAGACCTCAAGCTCTATGTGTCTTGATAAGACTGCGGTGGCAGTTTTAAGTTGTAACAACAAAAGGATAAAAGCTTCACAAGGTATCTAATTGCCTGTTTTACTGGTTCTACCAACAGATAAAACCCTCCCTCTAAAAGGCTCTGAATATTTGATAATTTTTCTTGCTTCTTTCTCTGGCACATTTCACCGATCTCCCACCTCTCTTCACAAGATCATCTAGAAACATCTCTATTTTTGTACTTTTCCCTCCCCCCAACTTTTTTTTCCTTTTAAGAGAAGGAGGACAAAAATGTCATCAAGTATTGCCGGTGAGGCTAATTTTTAAGAATGACATTCATGCTTAGCTACACTTTCAAAACATGTTCTACTTAATTTATTTTTCAGGCTGCTTTCCTAAACTGCTGATTAAAGATCAATTTATAAACAAGAGATTGCTCCCTCATTACTCATCTTGTCCTTCTGCCCATTTCTGGTAATAATTCAGCTTTTAATAGTTGTACAGGGATTTCAGAACATAAAAGATGAACCATTAATTGGGAAAGGGCAATGGAAAAACAGGATCAGAAGTCAAGAAGCATTTCAGATAGAATGGTAGCTATAAAAAGGTGATTTTCAGACTTTTCTGGCATTTAAATAAAACCTTAGCAAAGACATTTTCTTTGAGAAGCTAATGCTAAATCTCCCTTTTCAAAATTCAGGTGTTAATCTGATCTCAAATCAATAGGAGACCAAAATAGGTAACATGTTCATCTAATAATGGGATTATGTCAATTAGATGCATTTAAAATGCGGTTACCAGTAACAGCTTTCCCTAGATGAAGAATGTAGATGGCTATACCTATCCATGTACAGGAATCCTCCATCCTGCTAGGTGTCGACAGGACTTTCTGAGGAGCAGCTAAAATGCTTTATGTCACACTTTCTATTCTGAAGATACAAAATATCTGTAACTGGTTCTTCTATCTTCTGAAAAGAACCCATCTGCAGGAGGAGAGAGAACACAGGCAACCTCCCCACTGAGACTCAGATGCATAGAGATAAACGGAGTAACCAGCACTGTGAATTTGCCATTTTCTAGCAGGACAGGAAGGTCTCGCCTGAGAGCAATGAATGGACAAAATGAAGACAGCTTTAGTAATTTGCCCTGATATGTCCTGCCCTGCAGGAACAGGCTACTGATTCTGCCCTGCTAAGTCTCCGGATGCCATTCTGTAATGGCCCATGCTGATCTAAACTGGGACTACTGCAGTTCCACTCTCCCTCCTGATCTGAGCCATAGAGCACTGACCTGCCCGTTGGGCCATACCGACACTATCTGGCCCTGAGACAAGATGGCTCAAGGAGCTGACCTAGCAAATGCTAACTCAGGCTGCTGGGCAAGGAGAGTCTTCTAACCAGTTTTTGGAAGGCTGCTCTGTTGGTGGTGGGGGGAACCCACTAAACTGTGCGGAACAGACTGTGGATTAGAACATGTGCCAGTGCAAGGGTAAGGAGCTGGGCCATGGCTGCTCCACATGAGATCAGCTTACCATGAAGCTATGAAACCACATACCTAGCAATCTGGGATGTGAAAAAACACCCAGACATTTTTATTCACTGTGAGCCAGACATGTGATGTGCTTTTTACCAAGCAGAACTTGAGATACTTGCTTTGACTGGTAACAAAGAAATTCCTTTCCAAAGGATGTAGAGCATTTGAAAATCTGCACTTCTCGCAGAGCCCCTGAGTCAGTTGCTACAGTCTTTTCATGCTCATCACATGCAAAGCAAGTGGAAACTACTATTTTAAATGCACACTTCCAAAAATTCTGTACTAGAAAGATGATCAAGTTCTTCCATGTTGTGTCCAAATGATATATTATAAGGGCACATTCTGAGCGAACCTGCTGCCCCTAATTCCTGGAAGGATTTAACATGCAGTTACCAATTTCCACTCTCACAAATTTATAAGTTATCTGAATTCATGAGGTTACTATGGTATATGCACAATATCTTAACTGTATTCCTTATCGTGGGGTAGATGCCATGCTTCTCAGAAGAATTGTAAGGAGAAGAATGGGTCCCTTCCAGGCCTGTGCCAGCCTTGCCTACTGAAGTAGAGAGTAACTGACTTACCAAGGGGAAACACCAAAGTCCAACACCTTGCCTGGATTACATTCACAAAAAAGTATGACAAAGACACAGTTTTCTGTCGGATCTTGCACTGATCTTCTAGTATGAGTACCATCCACTGGCTAAATAAAAGTCTGGAACATACCCTGATGTAGATCATTAGTATCCTCAGAAGAATATACAGCAGCATGTATGAGGATCTGGTCCATCTAGAAGGTACCAAGACAGATTTTGTTTCTATACGGAGACACAGGGAAGTAAAGCAAAAAGGAATCTCGCATCTCACTACCCATCCAAAAAGACCTGGTTTCCTACAAACCTATTTGCAGGACCTATAGGTATCTGTTTCTAAATATAGCCGAGTTGCATCTTTGAGAACACTGACCCACATCCACAAGTGTATTTTGGTATCTTCATCCTACATAAGTTCACAAATCTTACTGGACCAGCAACTACAAACTACAGAAGTTAAACCCCTAAATGCCTTTACGTCAGATAAAGTTAATGATCCTCAAAAAACAGCCTCCTTTTAGTCTTCATAAAATGTTTAGTGAGAAGCTGAGATCACATTATGGCCATGGATCCCAAACCATGCTGCATGTGTAAGAACAGGTGACACAGGAAGAATTCTAACGCACTATTCTAACGACCATACAGCAGGAAACGGGGCCAAATATGTCTAGAGATGGCAGCATTTTGTCCCCCCCTATAGTTCCTATAGCACAGAAGAACAATCGTAACAAGGAGAATAACACTACTCCGAGGAATAACTTGTTTGAATTGCTCTGGCAGACCTGAAAGAGAATGAGCCTGGGCAGGGCTGTGATGGCGGTTGTGCACTCTCTGTAACTCCCTGTGTGGTTAAGCTTTTTCTGTGTGGGATGCCACATTTCTAGATTCTGCAGGAAACCCAGCAACATTCTCTTGCTCTTACTGAGATGGGCACTGTAGCCCACACTGAATACCATACTCCAAAGCTTAAGAAGCATTCCTTCTCACTGTATAGAATTAAAAAAAAAAAAAAAAAAAAGAGGGTGGGACACCACTTAAATCCTGTTTTCATTTTAAGATAAGCCTGCCAAAATGAGGTGAACCAAGAGAAAGATAGGAAACAGATTTTCTAAAACAATAACAACTTTTGTCCTCCATAACTATTTCCATAGAGATAGATTTCAACAGCTGAATTTTCTTGACTAACAAAATGAGAAAAGCTAGTTCCCAAACTGTTGTAACAGCAGAAGCCAAAAAGACCATTAGAATCCAGACAGAAAATGTAGAAATTGCCTACATCTGGTCAAGCTCTCTAACTCTGCCTCCTGTTTTAAAAGGCTTAGCTGCCAGAAAGCAGAAAAGAAAACCTTTTTTGAATTCCTGATCTATTTCAAAAACCTATTGCTAGCAACATGCAAACTTCTCTGCAAATCAGAAGCCGTTAAGAACAGTCCTGGCCCTTGAAGTCCTAACAAGAGCAGCAATAGCTTGTTTCCGATGCAGAAGAATCTGAAAATTAATAGCTTAGCAGTTTAAAACAAAACAAAACCACATAACTCATTTCAAAATATGCAAGAACACAGTCAATAACATTACTGTTTTCATATCTGACATCAAAGACTGATATAACCTGAAGCACTATTCTGATTCACCTGTTCTAGAGGAATGCTCCAGAGAAAAATACAATCTTTAAAGTGAGCTGACAGGATCCTGGTAAGGTGTCCAGCTTTCTCAGTTAGATACCTAGCCTAACTGATTCACTTCTAGTCGAACTAGCAGCTTTTCTACGGAAATTAAAAAAAACAATTTGTCACTGAACAGAAGCATGTTTAGTGGTATTCTTAACAATATTAAAGTAATTAAAACCTTTCATCTTAACAGAATTCACGGTATAATACTGATTTCCATGAAAACAGCTGCTTTTTCAAATCCTCTTTTCCTATTATGGGTGTTAGCAGCCTTTTTCTCTTAAAGTATTTGGTTATGCTCAAGATTTAAAGTGGTGGTGGTTTTTTTTAGATTTTGAAATCCGTGGTAATTGAAGGATACAGGCACCATTACCAGTAATATTTTTGCAGTTCAGCAAAAGCAGATTCAGAATTTTTTCCATGTTGCATTGTAGTAGAACATTTTCAGATGGTCTAAACTATAGCAGGTCAGAGTATTTAGGCAAAAATAAAAAGTAAAAAAAAACCTACACCACCACTCCTCTGCATGAAGAGATGTTTTCTAAACAGCACTATTTTAACCTTCAACTTTCAAAATAAGAGTCACACGTCACTAAGGTCTTCCTTTGGATTCTGTGTTGTATCTGCTCACTTCTGCTGACCACAAGAAGTTTTGACTGTGCTCAGCCTTGAAGCTAAGTTTATTTTTCCAACTGAATTGTTTCCCACATATGAGTAGCATTACTGAGGAATCTAAAGCCTACTGCTCAAATATAACGACCTCAACTAAGTGAAAAAAACCCAACAAAAAACAAAACCCCAAAACCACCATAGTTTGAGTAGATTAAAATCAAATACACTCCTGAGTAACTAATTCCAATCAGTGAACTAGGCAAAAATGACACAAGCAAGCAAAAACAACACCCAATGACCTTAAGAGAATTGTTGCTTGTTTTGAAGTGACTTTTCCCATTTCTCTTATGTGACCTTATAATCCTTCTTGTGCCAGCTGTTCCCAGAGCATTCCTTGCCAACACAGACTTTGTGCTCGGGACAGTCAATGCCCAGTGTTAGGAAGTGAGTCTTCATTCCCTCAGTAAACCTCAAAAACATAGCTGGTAGGCACTGAGAACGTGTGTTGCACGCCCAGGAACACACCAGCACACAGACACACGCTTTCACATTTCTTTTCAGTGTACTGGAAACCCACCGTATCCCCCTGCTTGGATGGGTGTTTTTGGAGAAGCACAAGCATATAGACTAAAATCCTCTGTCTGGAAGCCAGCCCGGTTTAATGAGGGCTCAGATGCACTGCGGTGAATTTTTGGCAATGACCGGGCCAGAAGCTCAATGGAGGCAAGAATCTAAAACAAGTAGAAAATAAGTGATCAAATCTGTTGTTCCAAGGTTGTAACAGTCTCTTAAAACCAAAGGCAGAACATCAATTAACTAGAGAAAAATATTTATACACAAATTTAAACAGAAACTTTTAAAAATAGATGACTGCATTGCACTCTGATGTTTATATCCTCAAGAAGCTGAAGAGAGTATTTTGGGAAGAAATTGTCTCATTTTCCCCTTTAACAGGGCATACTGATTTCCCTCTGCAAGCATAATGAATATAGTTGCCTTTTATTTGCCCCCTTGTTTATGCAGTAGTACCTATACCTACCATCGCTGCAAATAAACACAGCTTTGGCAGCAGTTTCATTAATACCATTTAGCATAATGCCAGCAGGGGGAGCTCCTTATTTTTTGAAAACGCTGTGGCTACATTCAAAACAAAAAAATAAGGTTTCCCTCCTGAAGCTTTTAGAATCCAAACCTTCCTCAGCAGGCATGATAAATCAGGTTTTGTGACAAAGCTCTCAGTTTCCCTTCATAAAGCCTGGGGAAGAGCAAGGAGGGGGGTAACAAAGATTCTGAGAACATACATGGCAAGTTCTAATTTATGTGTCTAATTGTGATTATTAATTTCAGTTGAAACTTTCTCCAACACATAAATGCTTTTCCAACTATACAAATCATTCTAATACCTGCTTTTTGAATTGAAAGTGAGCATTTCTAATTAAACAGCACTAACCAGGTACTGAACCAGTACTCTTACATGCTATAGCACTAAACAAAAAAATGTTGAACCGGCCAGTGAGTTCATAACTGAACTTTATTTTTAATATTTGAATTGTCAAGTCTACTGAGAACTGAAAAGGAACATTTCTCACCTGTGGAAAAAGGGGTCTCTCATCTCTCTTCTTTTTTAAGCATTCTGCCATTAGTCTCTTCATAGCTTTTGGACAATTGCTCCGTACTTTGCTGAGGTCTGGTGATAGGTATCCTCGTCCCACCATAAAAATTATCTTTATTTAAGGGAAAAAAAGATGAAAGGGGAAGAAGATGAGTCCATAGAACAAACAGTAACAAAAGATGAACGTTTTGCTAGACCATTTTTAGTACCAGCAGCAAGTTTTCTGCTCCTAGGAAACATTATGTGGTACTGAAATTGCCAAGATTATTACAGTAATGCTTGCTAATCTATTCAGTACGGAGAAAAAAAATTTAGATTTTTCCTCCTCCTCTTAAGAGAGATTTCTGCAAAACGTGAACACTAGTAAATGGTTACCATTTATAGAAATAACCACCTAAGGAACATTTCTTTGGTGTCCAAAACTGTTACAAAAACAAGAATAAGCAACCTTGTGGCAGGAACAGAATGCTTAAAAATAAATATTCTGTAAAAATAAATATTGTGTTTTATAATATAAGTCAACAGCAAGTTCACACTGAAAGGTATTTTAAGAAACATGTGGACTTCAGATATTAAATACTCTTACCTTTTGAGCATAAATTCCTTCATATATTTTTCCACCACAAAAGCTTATTCTTGATATCTGACCACCTTCCCCACCCCTCAAAAAAAAAAAACCCAAAAGAAAAAGAGAAACTGCCTCTACTCTGTAGGACACAGACAGACTTTGTATTTTTACAGTAATTCCTTTAACATGGAAGCCTTATATTTCACCTAAGGATAAAACTTAAGCATAAAACAAAGTAAACTAATAGAAGGCAGGAAAGCAAAGCATAACTATGGTTAATGTTCTCTTGGATACATAAAAAATATCAAACATCATCACGTCAAGCCAAGGTCAAATGCAGTGTGGTTTGAGTACTGCAGTTGCACTGACACTAAAAAGCTCTCTCAAACTATCTAATCAAAGATCCATTCATGCTGCAACAGATCATCACTACCTTTTCTGAATACTCAGACGGACCCTGCAGGTGTATCATATCTTGTATTTAATGAAGTATAACTATATTTCATACCTTGACACTGGCAAAAAAAAAACCAAAACAAAAACAGAAAACCCCCACATCTTAAGCAAGCTATACATGTTATTTATACTAACACAATCCTGGTCCTCTTTCAACTTTCTGCTGCAGTCGCATCTGTGTTGGCATCAAGAAGGTGTATAAAACTCCCATATGGTTTCTTTAGAAATCCCTATGTGCCAGAGCAGCATTTAACACTAAAGACTTGTCTACCCCATCCCTCATCTCTGCTGCAATGAGACTTAGCATCATCTAGAAGTTACTCTTTTTTACACTAAAGTTGAAATTATTCAAAAATCATTATTATTTATGTTTCCGATACTCTCTTTACAAATAATATAGGGATTAAACTTTTATTTTAACTATAGAAAAGAGAATATTACTACAAGAACAGTCCTAGCCTGTCTAGAAACATCTTTTAAGGTGAGAGAAAATTTCTGGGGTGTAACAAGAACAATGCTTTGCTCACTAAGAATCTCAGTTGTGCCATAGTAGCTAATGCAGATGCACCAACAGAGAGTGAGCAATATTTATGTCTTCTCAGACAATAGACTGAGACAAAACTCAAGACATTTCTTGACAAAACTCAAGACATTAGATCACACTTTACATGTTGGCTTCACTTGCAATCTCAAATTTGTTTCAGCACTCAATTGTAAGCACTCACAGCACTGGGTTCATCTTTCAAATCTCAAAAGGTAAAAACAAAACTATGCCCAAATACTGCTTTTAGAAGGCTATATCCATCTGGCCAGGAATCTGGACATTTCCCTTCTTTCAAAAGGCAAAACCAACTAAAAATAAAAATAATAATTTTTTTTAAAAAGGAGTCACTCCAGATTTGATGAATTGGGATGAAGTGTTCTTACAAATATGGATGCAGCCTTATAAAATGGCATTCACAGATGAACGTTGCTATGGTTGCAATTCTCAAGTACTGACAGTGAAAAAACAAGGGATGCGGACACAGAAACAACATAAATATATCACCGCCCAGACATTGAATAGTTTACACCAAAGATCTTGATGCACAGATATTATTTTCAGATTCGACAGAGAAATAATGAATCAGATATGCCTTCACAGATGCGCCTATCCTGTGAAGATATATTACACGGGTGTGGTATCATTAGACTCAAGGAATATTTGTTCACAGCTAAGTAATCTTACACTTATTACACAAGACTCACACTCTGGAAAGCCATATACTCCATCATGCAGGATTTGAGAAATGCTGATATCCCGAAATTCAATTAGGTGGTGCATGCATTTCTCAAGACTGAAATGAATGTAAAACATTCAGCGAGATGACTGCTGTTCCGTTTTGTCAATCCTGTTGCTGAACTATTATTCAATGCAAGGGGAGGGTGGGGGGAGAGAGGAATAACTGAACATATGGAGGATTGTTTTGCCTTTGCAGAACTATTCTAAACTAGATTACTATTAAGTAACCTGCTCCCTCCCTAATAAGTATCCTGGCAACCAGCTCAGAAGCTTAAAATCTATACTTGAAGTAAAAAACAACAACAAAAAAAACCACGTCGAGAAGTAAATTGGTGCTACGTGGCTGAGGCAGATCTAGAAAATGTAGAAACGTCACCTCATAACATCAGAATCAGAAACACAAATCAAACGCACAAAACATCAGAATGTGTACTTCACAAGGCTGAATCAATCTCTGTTTCAGGCCACGGCTGACTGAAGTCCATTCCTTCCCTTCCCTTACCTGGTCTCTGTTGTTGATGTTTGAGTATGGTAACTGTCCAGTCATCAATTCATAAAGAACAATCCCAAACGCATACACATCTGACTGAAAGCTATATGGGTTTTTATCTTGCATCCTAATAACTTCTGGTGCCTGTACCATAAAAGGAAAGAATTAGTTTTTATTTCACCACACCAGGCTGTACCTCACATACCAGGAACAAAACACGGACTTGTCCAGAGTATAACAGGTGCAAGGCCCACTCTTGCTTTCAGATGTTACTGGTCCTAATATAGAGTAGATGTTGACATCAATTTCAAAATCCATTCTTTGTGGCTTGGTGATCCCTTCCTTCCTCTACAACAGAACAAAATGACCTTGTCCAGGCCAAGAAGCTATTTTGAAACTAGAATTACAACAAAACTGAAAAGAATGCCAACTAACAGAGCCTTCATTTTTTTCAGGGAGAAAGGGAGAAAGCAGAGTTGCACAGGAGATTGTAACTATACTTACTAAGCCTTAAGCAAGTTGTACGACCTCTTGAGAGTAACCATGCTTGAATCCTTAAAACTTAAGAGCATCTTTCTTTTGGCTGAGCTAGTTCCTCTGCTCCTTTGCAGGATGTTTTCCACGGCTTTTCTCATCTTCTCAACCCTGGATTAATCATACCCTTTTTCCTTAGCCACCATTTTCTTTTCAGTTTAAAACTCAGAATAAGGGAAGAAGATACTAAAGTTCTTTTGCTGACTATTGGAAAACATATGCTTAAAGAAGAACTGAAAAACATTGATCTAGTACTTCATATCACTGCTTCTCTTCTCCAGCTTAAGATAGCTTGTATATGCCAGTGTGCTGGAGGGATAGTCTTAGAAACTTTGGCCAAAGGCAACTAAATTTATTGCCACAAACACACCCCTTCCCCCTTGCTTACCATCCATAGAATAGATCCAGACAACTGTTCAAACTGATGGGATCCGCTCCATCGCGATTTCACTGTAGCTAGACCGAAGTCACCTATTTTTACTGTGAGGTCTTCATGAAGAAAAATATCTAAGGGGAAATGTTAAGGGAAAACAAACAAGCAGTACCAGTCCTGTCCTACAAGAGTAATAAACAGCTTCAAATTTGCAACATTAGACATAACAGTTTTAACTATCCACCACCACCGAGGAAGGTTTTCATATAATACAGGTTCTAAAGCAGCCAGCATGGTGAATTATGGTACTTAAGGGTTATGTAAGTAATGACTGGGCCAGTGCTGAACAGACTATGGCCTAGGTGGCTTTCTTGAAATGCCAGGTATGAGATGCTGAAAATATTCCATGAGTGAACTGGTATAATCTTTCATTACAGGTACAAAAATCTTTGCAACACCACAACAAAACTTGCTACGTTATTGCAATCACATCAATAGACACAGTGAGCATTCCTTACTTTGCTACTAGTGATAGTACCCCTTCTCAACAAGATTTCAACTCAGCAAATATTCACACATGAACAGCTCTTCACATCACTAAGTTCTTTTCTGGCAGGAAAAAAACCCCACCCAGGAATGCTGTCATGTTCCACAATCACATCTGTGGGGAAGGATACTATTACTCTTGAGGTCTCTGTGGATGATTGACTTGGCATGCAAATAACTGAAAAGGAACATCACAGATTAGGTGTGTTAGATGATATTTCACTAATCAACAACTCAAAATTCACTTTACTGAAACACAAATTCTGTAGATATTCAAACTGCACAGATTTATCAAGGTGGTAAAACTTCAGTTACCCATGACAATTCCTGCAACGGTCACCACAAAAAAACCCAAAAATAAAATAAGGCTTAGATTTCCAGTTCAAACCTGATGCTACTGAAGAATTAAATAACAATTACGCAACAACTTTTGCTTTTCAGTTATAACTCAATTTTATTCAGAATAAAACCAAAAGAACTTCAGTAGTGTTTGACATGCCATTCAGTGCTGAAGGTTCTGCCTCCCAGCCTTAATGGTGACTGTCAAGACACTTTGAGAGCTAGTCACAGCTTTAGGTAACGTGTTTCTAAATTACGTGAGCTAAATGTGCTTCCCAGTCTCAATGTGTACTCAACTATGCCGACTGCTTTTTAGTATGGGTCTGGAAAAAAGATCCCCTGATTGCAGACTGGATAAACAGATTGCAGGGAACACAGAGGGTGTACTTGCCCCACAGCATAGACACAGCCTAAATTAGGCAACTAGTCTCCCATGGCTCTTTGTTTAGTCAATAAGATTGGCACAAACCTGCTGGAAAAGCCCCAATTTATGTCTCTGCTTTGAATCACACTCAGAAAACAGCTTCTGCATCTCCACTACCTACAGAGGGAGCCTGGGGAGATGAGCAGGCTAACAGAAGGCTGAGGCTGCTTGCTGTTAACACCTCCCCACCTCTGGACTGAAAATGTAATAGAATAGTTAGTAGAAAAATGGCACAATTAACTGCAATCATCATGGTGGTTTTCCAGCTGGAGGGCAATTTCTCTGATCTTACAACAGTGTTCTGATTTCGACACACAATATTGGGCTAGTTCTGTAAATTCTAACTCACTCAATTGCCCTCTCTGGGAGTAAGGATTACTTACAGTCCTTGGAACAAAATAGGTATGTTTTCTTCAAATGTTGAAATCTATTATTTAGAAAGTTACAATACTTGTAAGAAAAGGGGAAAAAAATCGATTCTTTTTGCTAACAGGGGAGTCTGCCTTCTGTGTCATCTTAAAGGATTCTGTCCTTTCGTTCACAGGGTGTTTCTTTTTGAACGGTTTTACCCTTACCATGAGACTATCTGCACTATGAAGATTGTAAAGCCTGGAACATAAGTCTTTGTTCACAAGATTGAAAGTCTAACTACACTGTAATTATCTTTATTCTCCTATCTAAGACTATACTTTCCTGATGATTTGTATTTCCCTATGTTCTAAAAAAAGGACATGAAGTCTATTTTACTAATCAAAACAATAAACACTTCACCAAATGCTTTGATCATGGGCTAAGTAAAGTGAGCAGACAGCTGGCCTTATTTGCCAAGGCCAGTCAGAGTGTGAGGGGGATAAGTAAACATTGCCCCAGCGCTCATTTGCAAACAAGTAATACCATACTTACTCCATGCCTTGTGCAGTCTGTCGTGCAATATCAATTAGCTTGATCATTTCAAATTTGGTCTCAATGATGTGTAGATGGTGATATAAGCTGGACCCCTCACACCATTGTGTAACAATAGCCAACTGGGGTTTTGTTGAATAGCCCATGAAAAGCAGGATATTCACATGTCGTGTTTTCCTATTGGGAAAAAAAAAAATCAGGAGGAAATCAGGAAAAACCCAGGCAGATCTATCACAGTCTAAATATATATTTTGAAACAGAAGTTGCTGGGTCAATCTCAACTTCTACTAAGATAACTTGATAACCTGTTGCTAGATTCAGTTTAATGAATTATTCCAGCAGTTAGCCTTTCTTATCATAATTACATGGAATAGTTCTTCTGGGGTAAGCACCGCTCCTTCTTGCTTTTGCAAGCAACCCAGCACAGGACTGCTCAGAAGATGCTGTTACCACTAGGTCCCCATGGGACAGTGACAGTTTGCAGGCAGGTCTGCTTTTGTGTAACCCCAGTCCAGCTATGAGATCTTGCTGCCCCTAAGGAGGGCATCCAAAATGAAATTCCAGTCTCAGAGGCTTCCAGGAAGGCCAACCCTTCTGTTCAGAAACCATCAACACACTGCCTTGACAAGGCTTCAGTTCTTCTTAGTGCTTTACTTGAAAAGAATTTTGTACTCTCTCTAGAGCCAGCATACAAGAAAGGATGGAAACAGGTGTGAAAACTGTACCTCAGTAAGGTTATGATATGAGCGTATTTTCAAACAGCACTGGGAGAGACTGGAGTTTACTACAGAGATTTGTCCATATTAAATCAAACCTCTTTCAAAGATAGAGCAACTGCAGATGGAAAAACTTAACAATGAACAACACAGGCAGGATTATCTCAGTAGATATCCCCGTAGATTCAAGGCTTGAAAGAGTCTACTGATACACTGTGAAATCTGAAAGATTCTCCTCATCCCCCAAGAAAAGTCAAACACATTCTTATTGTCATCAAATGGACATGAAGAACTAAATACCTCCAAACATAACAATGAGATATTACAAAGATGAGGCACCTAAGAATTCTGGAATGTTTCCTAGCTTTCCCAGAGGCTGAGCAAAAAGAAAGGCAATCTTCTTCCAACACAGCTCAGTACAGAAGGCAGTCAGCTCACTGTTGATGAAACCTGACAGACCAAGCTTAAAACCTGTGATAGCTTCTTAAATCTATGCTGCTGCTGAAGATGGAAGACGTCTTTATCTTTTCTTATATTAAAAAACTAACATGGGAGCCTAGAGTGTGAACCCATTTGTCCTCTCAGCAATGCAGACTAGGACAGTTCTACACTACATGACTGTGCCTTTTTCAGGTTCAAGGATTTGTCAAGTGATGCTGAGAGTAACTGCTGAGTGAACAAAAAAAAAGCAATTTCTTGCAAATCCTATCTCAAAGCTAAGAAAATAATGATAACACATAATAGAAAAGGCACAACTAGAGGTAAATCTGGCTCATCTGGGTCAAAGGATAGGACAACTGACTATTTACTGAGTGAAGTAAGTAAAGTAGTAAGTGCTGAAATGATCAACAACAGAGAAAGGCTGGACTCCAGCTATGGGACTGCCAGCAGAAATCTGGAGTAGGTATGAAATACTAGATTTTGGGTTTCATCAAGTTCTCCTGAGCAGGTCAAAAACATAGAGAGGTATCCAAAGTAGCATACCCCAGAAAGCCTCTACTTCCCCAACAATGGGCTTAGAGTTTTCAGAACTAACATTTCCTGGGGAAAGAGGCTGACCCTCCTCTTTTCACCTTTGTATCTTACTGGGGACACTGCCCCAGTACAGATGCCCAGCTCAACACATCAATTTTCCAGAGGCAAAACCTTCCGTTTTATTTCTTAAAACAGAATTATGCTCGACACTGGTCAAGATTATGCTTGGATGCTCATGGTCTTCCACAATAAATATTCTATGGTATTATGTTGATGGATCCTCTTTTAAGAACTGAACCCAAGACAAATACTTCCTCTGAGAAAGTGCAAGCAATAGACATAAGAAAAAGAAATCAAGAAGTGACTTTATGAGAAATACATTTAAAAAAAAAATTCTCTCTCAAAGAGAAGTCAGTGCTACTGAACAGAAACTATTAAACAACAGATATATGGGCAGTGCTGTAGCTCAAAACCAACAATTAGTCATGCTCCAATCGCAAAAACGTGGATGAGAGGAAAGGCAGGCCTGCAGTTCACACCTAGTCTTGACTGTGCCCTGAGAATAGTACAATAGCAAAACACAGTCCTATCTTGAGTGTTTGGACATACACATATTCACAACATAGGTGTATAGACAAACATATATGGGGGAAGGAAGAACTAGCAGTGGCTACAAAGAAACATTCTAAAATGGCAAGTTATATTTTCTGCCCATGATATCATCATGGAGGAATAAGACCAATGTGTTCTAATGGAAATCAAAGATTTAATAATAAATGAAGCATAAATCTACACACGTTATTTTATGCCATTAAAAATACTCTTACCTGAGCACTCCTACTTCATTTTTGAAAGCCTGTAACTGTTGAGGTGTGGGTGCTGTAACATTCAACATTTTCACTGCCACATCACCTTTAAAATAGCAATTTTTAGTAAGTGCCATTGATACATACTCCTCTATTCCATTGATACATATTCCTCTATTGAGAAAATGCTCTATAGAGCATCAGAAATATTAAGATAGCCTATTTTCTAGCCTTGGTGAAATAAACCACTACAATATTAAAATAAGTAAATATTCTGTAAAATGTATAAACACTGTTCTTATTTTACTCTGAGAAACCCTAGTCAAGCCAAAGCTTTCCAAATACACATTTGAAATCCTCATTCATCAAGATGGAAACGTCAGCCTTTCTAGTAACTATGTTTCATCTTCACTCTAACAATTACTTAATTCAGGAGAATGTGCAAGAGTTGAGTTTCCAAACAGTTCGAAGTTCTGACATTACCTATTTAGCACACTACTTATTAATTTAAAAATCACCTTTATGGCCCTTCAGTGGACTCTCCCCAGCATGTCCATGTGTCTCTTGTACTGGGGAGCCCAGAACAGGACCCAGCACTCCAGGTATGGCCTCACCAGTGCTGAGGGGAATGATCCCCTTCCTCACCAGCTGGCAATGCTTTGCCTAATGCAGCCCAGGATACCATTTGCCTTCTTTATGGCATGGTCACACTGATGGCTCATGTTCAACTTGATGTCCACCAGAATCCCCAGGTGCTTTTCTGTGACACTGCTTTCCAGCTGGGTGGCCCCCAGCAGGCAATGTTACTTTGCTCAAGAATAACTCTTTGTGATGACCGCCACATACCATGCCACTTTCCTTTGTAGACTGTTCCAAATGATCCAGATCCTATCCTTTGTCCAACTGTGATTTGTCCATCTGGTATCTCCCAGTCATCACTTGAATCCCTTCGACCAAGGGTTTTCTTTATATATATGCATAAACAATAAAAAGGAAGAAAGCAAGTGCATTAATGTCTATGAAAACAGCTCCTTTGTTAAAGATTTGGTATCAGCATTTCATGTCATTAAAATCCTAAAAGAACTTTCTTTTTTGGATATTGCATTTGACTTTTCAAGTCAGCCATACACAAAACCTCAGCACACAGGTATCCTAAATTATTTCCTGGCATTAAATATTTGCAATAGGTTTCTGGCAGCGTTAAATCCAGTAAATATTAAGAAACTCCTACAAAAAAGAAAGTTTCCTTTATTTTTCAATTCTTACTCAATCATAATGCTAAACTGTGAATTATAAAAATGCAGCCATTTTTCTGTATTGTTACATTTGAGAATCACTAGAGAACTTTCAAAGTTCATGAATCACGGCAGGAAAAGTTAAGCTGTTATTTGAAGGACAACCGGCATTATAATATGAAGAATATGAAGCACACCAAGACATTTGGGTGCAATGGAGTAAAAGTGAGTATGGCCAATTATTTAAATGATTTACGTATCAATCCCACAATTTCAATATTCCATTATTTGTTGGTTTAAAGTTCTTCATCATTACCATACTCATCTTCAAAATAATTCAGAAGGCTTTGATGAAAAAAAAGTGAGAGGAACACTGTTGTACAGTATTTCTATACTACGAATATGCTATACTACGAATGAAAATACCTGATCCTTCCCTTACCATTCTATTTCTGTCTTCTGAGGATGAGGATGATTTCCTTTCCCGTTGAGGTCCTGGTGATTTCTGCAACGCTTTCACATTGGTGAGTGACCCAGGCAAAGAGGCAGGAGGTGTTGCAGACAAACCTGCAGTTGAGCCTAAATTTCAGAAACAAGATAATTTTATCTATAAGAAGCCAGCTTACAAGAATGTATTGATATTAGGTGCAAGAATTTTGTTTAAGATGCAGAATCTTCAAGCATCAATGTAAATGTTAAGAGGTAACAAACATATACTAGGAATACTGTCCTAATATTAGATTACTGCTCAAGTCTTAGATTTCAGGAAGGGACAAGTCTACAGCAAACATCCTTGTATACAAGATAGTCCTCAGTCTCTTGTTCATGAATTATCAGAAGAACAGTATCTCTTTAGATCGGGAAAAAAAACCCAACCCAAAACTTAAAAAAAAAAAATGTATTTTTTAAATTCCACCAGTTTCTTTGAGGAAAAAAAAAGCAGTAGCATTTTAGTTAGCAGCAGCTGCCTCTCAGATTTCTTGTAGCTAACCTTTTAGGGATCCGATAAATAGCTGAAATATTGTACTTTGGAATCAAAATAGACTAAATGCAAAAATTGAAATGTTTCCTAGTTGAGTCTCCAAGTGCCACCTGAAAACCATTTGGCTGTTTTAAAGCTGTTAGCAGAGACCTCTTATTTAAAAGTAAATATAAGACTGTAGAAAGGATTTTAAAAGAGCAAGTACTTTAGTTAGTTATTTGAAGCATATTCAATTAAATACAAAAAGAACAGTACATCTGTAGCCTATATGTTATCTAAACAAATCTATGCAGGAAAATGTCACTAACAGAGCTGTGTTTCAGAGCCCCAGTGGCTCTTTACAAATAGAGCACTTCAACTAGACACTGCTTTTTAAAATACACCATAATTATTCGTAACAAGGTTATGCTGACCCTCCCAATGCAAAGGACATAAAATAAGGTCAACTGTTAATTAAATTCATGCTGCTCTGCTAAACAATGTATGTCATTGTACAAGACCTCCAACATTCCAGTGCCTTCTCTCACATCAGTGCTCTGGGAAGTGGTAGAAGACAATATACCTCCTCATATTCCTTCAGAAGCCCCCTTCTTGCCAAAAAAAGTATCTCCTAATGCCAACTCGTGTTCAAAAATTGACTTTGTGACTTTTAAAACTGTTGCTAGAGTTCAGTCACCCAGTGCGTGCTAATTTATCAGAGTATATATACATCCATCACTGTCTTCACCAAGCTAAATTCGTACATTTAGAAGTGGAAGCACAGAATAATGACATACCAACACAATAAAAACGGGACACAGCATCCATAAACTTTGTCCCGCATGCTAAAACAACAATAATGATGCATACTGGGTATCCTAACTACATTTACGAATGGCTGGAAGCCAGTGACCTGAAGGATGGACTTCTGTTCATATTCATGTTGTGGTCATTGTACTGTCATATATTTATTATTTGTCTGAAATCACACATATATGGAATTAAATGGATGATGTTCCCAGAACACCAGCAATTTTCCAAAAGTTTACTAGGTTACAGACTTTCTCTGTAATAGCAAAGCTCTAATAGAATGTGTTTTCTTTAGAGGTAGCTAAAGTCTCCTACTTAAATTTTAATACCAAGATAGACACACTAGTACAATATTCACCCTTGACCAAAAATGCTTACAGCACATGGTAGAACAATATAGTTAATCTGTTCATAATAATACCAGATGGCCTGTTTTCCAAGTTATTAGAGTAGAGTAATTCAGATAATGTTGGACTTAAGTCATTAGCTTGGACTCTGAAGCTGTACGTAACGTATTCCATTCTGTAGCCAGTTTGCTTGTTGGGAACACCTGTCTTCTTACAAAGATTTCGGGAAGAACTTTACAAGTTCGTAAGGTGAACTGCTCTTGATATATTCTGAAACACAAGTCTTTGAAACAGCCAAGATGGTAGCATTTGAAAACCACACTACATGCACTGAGCTACCCATTTCTACATGTATACATATAGACACAAATATTTACATTTCATGCTATTACTCAATAGCTGGTTTCTCCAGCATATGAAATCCCACTGAGTGTTTTGGGACTTTGTGCAATACAACAGATCCATTGACAGCTTTAGGCCTGAATTAGCTGCAGAGTCAATGACATGACAATTAAGAGTCTTATTTTACATGGTGCAGGACACAAATACTGTTTCACTGGAAATTTACTAAGTAAGTAACAACTACACAGTCTAAACCACCCAGGGCCCCAATGTGGTCTCAATAGCACATTCTCAAAATGAAGTACTTGTTGAAAGTTGACATGACACATTACTTGAAAAGCTTAAGACCTAACAAGATATCAATGGAAATGTTTGTAATCCACATTTGATTGCCTAGATTTCTTTTCAAAACAAAGAATATTAAAAATTAAAAAAACCCGTTCTACAGCACTGAACTGACTTAAACTGAACAGTCAAGGAAATTCTAAGTTAAGGACATCACTTTGTCTTAAAAATCACTGCAATGAAATCCAAGGACCTTTGTTCAGAAAAATTATGTTCAGGTCCACATAAAAACCTCAACTATGAAATTCCTTGCTTTTGAAGATTTAAGTCAGACTTTATTTATAGTCATTTTCAAGCGTGTAAAGGTGAAAGTGAGTATGTGTGAAAAGCACATTCAAAGCATTCCAGCCAGGCCAAGCAAAAAACAGAGGTGTTTTGATAAACTCACACACTTACATACACACGGTGTGAGGGTGAGGCACAAACAGCATCTGTGGTTTTATTTATTTTGTTTGGGTGAAAACAAGAAAGAAGAGCCCAACTACCTCTGAACACTGGGCCAGGCTCAAAATCAAACACTATTTCACTGGGGACAGAATGAAGGAGGGGACTGGGAGTCCGGGATTGGTATTTCCGAAGACAGCGCATCAGCTGGTTCAAAGGGGCTGTTAGAGAGAAAGAGACGGGCAGGCAGAGACAGAAAGACAGACACATAGAAGAAATGAAAGAAGTCATGGGAAATAACTAGGATGCTTTGACTCCTATTCATAGATTGCTTCTGTACTTTGAAGGAAAAAAAGTCAGTAACTAATAACACTGTTTCAGGACTGGGAACAGCCAATTGTTTTCAGATGCCAAGCAGACAGTTTATGATCAAAAGTTAAAACCAACATGACAGCACAACATTTAAATGCTGGACAAAATGGGCAAAACTGTGGAGAGCCACACCTATCAACACATACAAAAACAGCTAAAACTAGCAACTTTAAATTAATAGGCTTGCAGGATTAAAGGAAATGTCTTTTTAAAAAGCATTCTATTGCTGGCATAAGAAAAATCAGCTCCAAACACAACACAGTAGGCAGGTACCATCCTATCAACTACCAGATTTGGATGGGAGAAACAAAGTCAGTGACAGCCCAGAGTACAAAACCTTAGAGATCAGGATAGAGTGCACTAAGGTAATTTAGACTTTACTTATGGCTGAAGCAAGTTATAATTAGTAGGAGACAACTGTGTTAATGATTTGGAGTTGGAAAAACTGTCATACGCCTGCCCTACTTACTATTTCTTTATTTCTACATTATTATTATATTCATAGGAATAAATACAGCACGTAAGAAGCCCTCTCAGGACCTTGACAGCCAGTGGGAAAAGTGACTTAACAGGCCCATGCATAATGTATGAAGAAAAATAAATCTTCTGGCGCTAGTTCTGACTTAACTGTGAACTAGGGCTGTGTGTTACTGAAACATAAAAAGACCTGGCTTTAGTGTAAGGTCCTAACAACCTGGTTCCAAGAGTAGCACAGGCATGCAGTACAGCAAAGCAGCATCTTCAGCAGGGGTAGAGGGGGAGAAGAACTGGAGTATTTCATGCTGCTTTAGGATGCAGCAGTTCATACAGAAGGTCCATCTACCATGTTGACGGTTTTCAATGAAAACCCCTGTTGTTTCCACGGGTGGGAAGGTAACAACAGGCATAAAAATCTTTGAGAGAGAGTTGGGAAATTGTAACAAATCTGTGTGCAGCCATGTGAGTGAATGCCTGTGTATGTGTGAGAGCAAAAAAATGACAGCACAAGATAGTTTTAAAACAAAAAAACTAGATACCACTTCAAAACTTTTTCTCCTTCCGTCTCCCCCACTCCCAGAATGACTGGCAAATGACTCAAACCTTTGTCAGATAAACACTAAGTTCATGGACAAGCAAATGCAAATTCTTTTTTTGTTACAGTCATATTTTCCTTTGTGCCTGTGTTTTGTAGGAGGAAACAGAACAAAAGGAAGGGACAAAGAGGTGGTGCAATTAAATACAGCACAGTAGCTAGTTTAAACACTACTTACCTCCCTCTCCTCGTAAACCCTGGTCTCTAATCAAGTCCTATAAATAAAAATAAATTGTGTTTAATTTAGGTATTATCGATTACATTCCAAAATCAATTGAGATTTATCAAATTAAGAATCTGTAACCTCATAGGTTGCCATGAAATAGAAGTTGTTTCCTACCCTGGCTTACTAACAGCAGCGACTCCAAAGAACTATTTATAACAACTACTAAACGTTTCAAAATTATTTGCTTTAGAACAGCATCTCACAGTATTAAAGTGAAATGTACACCACCCAGAATAGACACTGACATGAAAATATTAATTTAAACAAGCAGTTGGCCAAAATGCACAAAGAAATATCGAACTAAACATTCCGTGGCACAAATTATTTGAACTGTCAGATCAGAAGCTGGGACATCAATTTCCTGTACTGAGGTACATCAGTCAAATGAGTTCTGCTTCATTTTTTCTTGTAACAAAGCACCTAATTTGCCTAGCCAGGCGCACCCTGCTCTTCTCGGAAATTACTAGCTGAAAAAGGTTTCCTTCACTTGCAATCCACTGCGAACTGAGAGTATCTTTTGCAACATATCCAGACTACAAGCAAACTACACTAAGGATTTTCTGAACACAAGAAAATTAGAAAATTCTAGCAGTCTCCTTCTGTAGGTCCATCTTCATCATCAAGATTATTTCCCCCACCACCACCCACAATTAGTTTATCCCTTTATACACCTGCACTGCTGCTGAAAGCACTGGTCCTGCCTCTCAGCTGCAGCACTGCCATATATCATATGCAAATATCTGTGGCCACACTCTTAATACTTAACTAACATTTCACCTTTCACTCAGCTCACATGCAAAATAGATTTGGTGCCTCAGTGTCCAGGCAGACTTCAAGACTGCTCACTTGACAAATGATTAATTTATAGAGAGTAGACTTAAGGGTAAAATGCAAGCTGTGTATGTTCGCAAAATTAGAAAGAGCTCGTTGTGACTGACATTCTGAAAGGTCCTAGCTGGCCTCATACCTAATATCAACCATTGTTATTATTTACAATTCAGCATCCAGAAATTTAAAAAACGTGGAAATCAATTTAAGCGTAGCACTTTCTGAACACTCCAAAATAAAGCTCACAATGATATATACTGGCCTCTTGAAAGCCTAAGGAATACTCAGTAAATCTGAACTCAGCTAACTGCAGTAATTTAGTTTTCTTCAATGCCAGGAACGTTATTTGGATTACAAATACTAAAAAAACCCCTATGTTGCACATAAAGAAACATGCTTAACGCATAGAATGGTTTGCAAGATTGGTTACTGGCTGTTGTATCCTAACACTGTAGTACAGCTAGCAGCATGAGCCTTGGGACTAAAAACAACAACAACAGCAGCAGTGGTTTGTATAGAACGTGTCGTTGAAAATGAAAGGACAGGACTGTCAAAAGGCTGTTTCTGCTTTTGGAGAATGGCTTATTTGCATTCTCACATCTGAACAGCAAAAACGTCTTATGTGGGATCTATGAAGATTCTGACAGACCACCAAGGATTAGCTTAGAGACACAGCACTCGTGTGTACACATGATAAATTTAACGCACTGATATTCATAAGGGAAACATCAAATCTACTATTCTTGATCCAAACATTATTAATACTTACATCAATATTGACTGGCTCGATTGTATTGATGTGAACATTGGGAGCTGAAGAGGATCGGTCACGTTGCCCAAATTGATTCCGATGGTCTTCATCTGCTGGTCGGAAGGGCTGTGGGATTGGAATGGATTTTGAAGGAGAAGGACTAGGGAGAATTGGTGGTCTGAGAAACAAAGTCAAGGAAAAAGAGGATTTAGGTCTACAAATGGCTTCGAATACTGCATAGTGGGTGTGGTTAAGTCCTTTTCAACTATAGTAACATATATGTTAAAAAACCTGGTCTAGAGGCCTCCATAAAAACAATTTATAATGAACAATCTCTACTCCGCTATGATCAATTGCAAGAACCCTCTGCTGCATCTACCTAATTACATGGCTGTAAAGTCTTCGGAGTTAAAACAAAACAAAAAACCCTAACACACCATACCAAACTAGTAATATTAAATCCTGATCTGAAAAATTCATGTAGTCCAACATGCACTGCAGATAGCAAGATACTCTTGCAGTTTCCTCACTTCAGATTTAATGCAATACACAATACACCCTTCTTAATGGCAACCCATTGAGAACTAAAAATGCTTAACATCTCACACCAACATAACAACCAAAAGATGTCACAAAACAAACTGTATGGATGGGATTATTGTTCAATGAAGAAAGACTGAAAATTACATACTGGTCACTCAACATAATTGATTAATACTATGTCCAATGTAATATGGATTATTGATACTAAAAATAAACGTATCTTTTAACTTCAACCTTTAAGAAATAACTTTAAATAGTGCAATATTTTAAACGTTATTTACAATGCTACAGGCAGGCAAAACAATAGATTTGACTTGAAAGATAAGTGCTGAGACTACACAATCAAATTTTCTGAAGAAATGCAACTGCTGCCGGTCATAAATGTAGATAAAGTCTTTAATTTATGGTATCATGAATCACATATTTAAAAGACAGAACTTCTGAACACTTGTTTTTTCATTTGTAAGAAGGCAGAATGACACTACTTTAGTTATCCTTTTATTCTGTTAAAGTATAACAAGCTGGTATTTATCTCTTACTCAAGTCAAGACCACCCACAGTTAAGTCTAATGATTCAATTCAATGGACATAAGGCAAAAGTTCAATGAGAAATGCTTGTCACCTTCTTCAAAGAAAACTTTACATTAAAATATACTTGATCTCTGACAACAAGGTTTTACAGAGAACACAACTAACAGAGGAGTAAAGTCCTCCAGATATTCAGTTACTCATGGGTTAGTTACCATGCCTGCAAAGGCAGTAACCCCAAGGGAGAACCTTCAGAAATAAAACCATACAGCAGCATATATATAGCAGCAGCAGGTCCTGGTGCCACCTCCTGTAAGGGAGGCTCCTTGGCCTCTCCAAAGATCTTCAGGGGCAACTAACATTTTCAACAGGATCTCCTGACATTTTTTCAGAAATGGGTCTGCTTTAAAGACAATTACCCTATCTTTCGTTGAAGAGTTTTATACAGTTTGGCACCAATCCCAGAACTCAGTGCTATCTGTATCCTAAGTACCTGTCGTCTTTTCTTTCCTGGCCAACAGTCTCACAATTGAGAAAGGGGAAACACACCACTTGTGAGTTAAATCAAGTAACAGTCTAGTAACTCTTGTAATAAAATACAAAAAACCTTGGGTTACTTTTGGGAAGGGGGAATAGGCAGGGAGCTTAACCATGTTTAACTTTAAAAAAAAAAAATAGCTACCTATTGTCACATGACAATATATTGGGAAGATATTAGGAAGCAATGAACTAAAACTGCCAATAGACAAATCTATCGGGGATTGGGAAAGCGCCTTGAACAATCCACCTTTTCAGAAGATGCTCAGAATTTCAGAAACATTTTTTAAATGCAGTTGATGTACATATGCATAAGATAAAGTTTTCATTTGTTGCTAACAAGTGCCTTTGGGTAAAATATTTTCTATTGTAGATGAGGAATTTTTGAACTCCTGAACATTTTTGTAAGGAAATCATGCAACTAGAGCCCACATCAGGAGATGGCACACTGCACAGATACAAATGCAGGGCTTGGTTGACATTCTAAGGCACTGTATTTCTATGTTAAGGCAAGCGTGTCAGATACTGCACTGAAGGATTTCAGAAGAAAAGCCCAAGAAGTGTCTCAGCCAGGCCAATACTATCATTGTCGGGACAACTAACTCCTGCTCAAATTTCCTGAGAGCTCTCAGTAGTAATGACATTAAGGGAAACGTGTAACAAACATCAGATCACTGCACTAAGAGTGACTGTGAGACAGCATCTGAGCTTTGCCACACAACGAGAACAGAAGCAATCAGATTTTCTGCGATCATGAGAAAGCCAAGGGAGAGAAAACCAAATTGGAGAAATATTGTTTCAACTGCATTCTCCTGTGAGTCATAAATGGTCATCTGCTAAGGGAATCTGCAAATACTTCTGTATTTCTGGTGACAGGTCATCATGCCTGTCATGCTGCTAGCACAGATAGCATGCTCTATCATGCCATGTTTGAAAACAAATCTGAAAAGCTTTTTCTACTCATTAAATTCTAACTGTGAGAAGTTCAGATCTTTAGAAAACAATTACAGGCTGATGAAGAACTCTCTTTTTTGGAGTCTCTAAAGTATTCTTGGGAGGATCTCTGGGCTTTAGACACCAAAGAATCCAGAGATGGCAATCTTATAAGCGGTTAGCCATGTGCTCCATCTATACAATCAGAATTAACGGGTGTCCTTGGGACACTTACAAAAAAGTAGCTTATTTTTAATAAATGGGAAATTTGCTTGAAAAAGGTAACTAGTGAAGAGAAAGACACAAGCAGTTCGCTAGCCAAGATGGCCTACTGGGATCACAAGCTCAGAAGAGATTACCACCAGCCTCTGCTTGTGTGAGGCAAACGCTGTATCTTTATCTGCATCAAGATCTTGATCTACAGAAAACACGTCACCACAAAGAATGCAGCAATCCTCTCAGCTATCAAAAGCCTGTTCTTATAGTATTCCTAAATTTTAATTGCTCCAGAAGGGTAGAAGGCACACTGGAGCAAAAAGCACCAGCCATCATCATTTGGAAGAGGGTGACATTGTCTATTCCAGAAGTTACAAAACTAGTTCTGTAGGCTATGCAAACATAGTGCCAGCAAACATATTGCCAAAAAATTAAAATAGATAAAACAAATAAAATCGACAGGACCAGAACACAGCTGCTGCAAAGCACTGTTTACTGTGGCATACATGTATAGCAGGCTGGGGCTTAAACGAAGCAGCAGTTTAAATACCAGGATCTGAGTTTCTGTTGCTCCTGTGGCCTTTGTGAGCAGTTAACAGCCAACCTCCTAAATAGAAGAGACCTTCTACAATTAAGAAGGTCAATATTCTGACATATTAGAGAGTTTATACCACCTCATCTTGCACGCTTTCTTCCAGCCTCTAAGATGTGAGCATTCCTTTAACAAACGATCCTCAGCTTGCCAAGCAAGAAGCTGATGGAGTTGTCAAATCAAGATTTGGCATGTTATAACCTTTCCTGGCAGTATGACAGAACATGCTTTTTCCTTGGACCTTGTATTTGGGATAAGCACATTGTTCCCTCCCTTTTTATCAAGACAAAACAGAAAGAGGTTTTCACAGGCAACAAGAGTAATCGCAGACAAATGTAAATTTTTACCCTTTACTAATCACAGCAAGTGCCAACGTGTCCACAGATTTACTATTCTACAAAACTAGGTCCACAGGAAAGAGGAAGACAACTCAGAAAAGTGCCCACGCATGCTACTTTATATTTAAACAATTTTATAAAATCATATACAGTACCTCCACTGGATCTTAGAACTTAGAATGATACAAGTTAGTTCACTTTACAAATATGAAAGAAAATTTTAATACAAATTTTTCCCCTCAATTTCCTTTAACTCACCAACATGATGTTTCATATATTTAAGAGCTGGTCTACTCAGGAAAGATTTTTCTTAAGAGGTTTGTTTGGGCTTCCAGATTTTTGTTTGGATTTGTATTTTGCTGTAGTTAAGCAAATACTTAAACTGAAAATTCCCATTCACCTAGTTTCAGTTATAGGCTGTATCCCTCTTCCCTTTTAAAATGACGGCATCTCTACTGGACTGAGATTTTTCTTCTCCCCCTCCCAGCCTGAAGAGCATCTCAGTTTAGCCACAGGGCTCAGTGTAGTACACACTATTCACCTGGTAGACCGCATACTTATACCCAAGTCAAACCTACTGCAAGCTAATATGCGTACCAAGTCTTTTTTTTTTGTTTTTGTTTACACCAGAGGACAATTGGCTTTGTTTTTTGTTACTGCTGTTAATGAAGAACACAGTGCACTCCAATTTTCAAGCAGTTCCTAAGAACTGCTTAGGATCTGGGAGTTTTTTTCTTTCCCCACCTCTGCAGCCTGGAAATAGTCAATAACCCCAAATCAAACATTGATTTGGGGAAAAGGATAGCAGTACAAATTTCTAACTACAAGCTAGAGAAGATCACTCTTACAGCATCATGGGACAGATCTGTAACACTCATAAGTTCATATGAACTAATGCATTTTTCTATACCGTGATAACTGGTCTTCATCCATGTTGGCTTGTAGGTATAAAACAACTGCCCGGATTATCACAATTGTGTGTTTTTATACTGGTCTTTGGGTGCAGATCAAAGCTTAGCAATCCTTTCCTGAAATTTTGGATAGCTTCATATACCAAGAGAACCCACACAGCTGTCTGTTTCCTTGGCTTTTCAGAAACTTTTCTAGACATTTACATATCTTCAGCTGAGGCAGAGTGATCAGTGAACATTTGGAAGACAGAAAGGAAAGCTGAGGTGTTTAATCACAGGCTGGAGCCTGCTCTAAGGCAGTGACTGGCAAGCTTCCAAGACTGGTGCACCAGACAGTCCCCCTTCCTGCCTCAAATGTAGAAGATTAAGCATGTTGGGAAGTGTTGTTTTTCAAAGAACTAAGATGTTGCCAACCTGCTTACTAGCCGTGTTCTACCTCAAGCAAAGCAGACAGTTTCTATCAAGTCCAACCTGCCTCTGTGCTAATCAAAGTCTGACCATGCACCCCTTACCACCCACTCCACAGGTTACTTACCCTGCCATAACATCTGCCTCAAGTTTGCTGAGTTTTGCCCCACATCACAACATTCGAGAGAACAGATGGAAGTTGAAAAAGACAACACTGGAATATTTTGAAAAGCTAATCTCTCCCCTTTTCAGATATCTCTAAGATCCAGGGAACTGCGTTCACAGAAGTTCTGTTCTCATATTTTACAAGCAAAGATACAGAGGAAACTTTATGATAGTGCAATGAATGAAATGAATACAGTGTATTATATGCAGTTTGTGTACTTCAATTTTATTACAAATGGCTATTATTAGGGAGACCTACACTTTAGTAATTCTTTCCAGTTAAGTGCAGATTATAATTGACTGCTTTGGCACAACAGCACAGTGCAAACTCAAAGAACTAAAATGGGGCAAAAGATCTAATGTGGAGGCCAGACACATTTTTATAAGGGGTTCAGAAATGTGCAAATGGGACCATATGTGCTTCCTTCTCTTGGGAGGAATGTCTGGAGGGACTGCCTATGGCTTACAGTTGGAAGAATGAACGGCTACAGGACTGGATTGCTTTAGGGTGTTACACATGAGCAAAGTGCAACAAAAGTTCTCCAGCACATTTAGCAGATTTTGCATCATGTCCAATGGTCTTTTCCTTTATGTCCCTTTCTCTTTCCGACTTCTCCATTTGATCCCTTGACAATTTCTCAGCATGTCACACACGCCTTTGCTCTTCAGCTTGTCTTGCAACACAAACTCTTCCTTCCTTTGGGCACTTTGCCTGCCGCTGGAATCCCTTCACAAGGCTAAAGACGAAGTATGTTTGCCTTCTCTTTCCTCAGGTTACCAAACGATTAGCAACATCCCTTCCTCTGTGGGCTGCACCATGTAAAATGCTAAGAGAACAGAGAAATCAAAGGAACAATTATTAAACTAGTAAGTGTTAATAAAACGCTAGTTCCTCATATTTTCAATCATATTGCCCAACTCTCAAATTTCAATCCCTTACTCTCTTCCCAGACAAGATAACCTCAAATGTCAGACTTCTTTTTTTTATTCCAGTTGAGCTGTTGTCCCATATTGTAGCAGCACCCTTTAACAAAACTGTGGGTAAGTATACATTTTTATAGAAAAGGACAGCATTTTTTTTTTTTACACTAAACAAAAAAATCAGATAAATTAAAATTATGTCTTTAAAAAGCAGGGAAGTATTATTAAAGAAAGGTAAAAGGGTAACTGAAAAAAAGTATGGACAGTGCTATATGCTCATACAACAGCATCTAAGCTGCTTCTGGAAAGCAAATACTACAAACACAGATGTTTGGGGAAAATTGCATGACTTTGTAACATCTTACAAACTTACTTGCTTACAAACACCAGCTGATAATCATAAGCCATTTTCAAAATAAACAGAATTTTGAAGGCATGATGTATGCCTTTCTTGTTTAACAACGAAGTGTACAGCAAGGCAAAAAAGCAAAAAGTAGAAAGCTAGAAACCTTTCACAGCTCCTGCAACCACAAACATTTACAGATGCAATACTTCGGAAAAGCTCCTTAACCTCAACTGGCAAGTATATTTAAATGTTAAATTTTTTATATATGTGAAGTTAAAACTCTAAGGCATTACAACAGCTTTGGTCTCAGTTTGTCCTTTCAGTTTTTACTTCATAAAACTAAGACTGCCTGAAGTAGTGCATGTATCGATTAAGATAAATTGTCCAGTTGCATCTTCATAAACTGGTAAGAAAGCACAAATGTGAGGTAGAGGCAATTGAAAAGTAGGAAAACTTAGCATATAGCAGTACTAGGATTGGGGCTATATAATGCCTTTGGCATATGCAGGTGTTTAACAGAGTTCACACGAACAAGCTTCTCCACAGATTAATAGGTCTAGCCTGGTTATAATTTCAGCTGTACCATGAGAAAGGCAGAGCCTGCTTCACTTGGAGAACTGCAACAGCAGCCTTGTCCACAACCTGCTGTACTACCGTCCACAGGATTTAAACACAACATCCACTACCTGGAAGAGGTACTTCCAAATTTACTTGAAACTGCACAAAAAAGTTTAAATAAGAACATCACTTCTATTTGTACTTACCAAATGAGGTTCCCTCTGCAGGACCGTCAATCTATTTTCCTGTGTGGCATCGTATTTGATCTTTTATGAAACAGTCTTGGCTGTCCAGGGAATTTCTCTTCTAGTTAGAGTCCATAGGTGCCTGCGTAGCTTCCAGCTGTGTTTCTGCTTTAGTTTGGGCACACTTGCTTACTATTCCAAGAGAGAGCCTCTCTGACAAATACAGTTCATCTCCATGCAGCACACATGTCCTAGAAATGTTTTTTTCTGAAGGCTTTTGTATTTGGTGTTCTTAATATATCTGCATCAGGTCTCTTGACTTTGATACACATCCTTGAGTTAATCTTCCCCGGAGATTTGTTCAGCTATCTAGTGCTGGGTGGTGTCAGTTCTCTCTTAGCTACTAGAAATATAATCTACATATGATCACTTATCTCTTCACAGAGAGAGGGTCCAGAGTCAGTTTTAGAAGGCTAATTTTACAAAACCTGGATCTGCAGCAACCAGATGCTATTGATATATCCCAACATCTAAATAAAGGAGGAAGACGGCTGGTCTGGAGGATACTAAAGCAATGTGTATATGGAAAACCTATTAAAGCAATACTATGAACCTGGAATTGGCATCTGTTCACACCAACATTATAGTGGTGTGGCTCATCATGAAATACAGGTATGTCACTTCAAGGCAAATAAATTGTAATTTGATAACACAAACTAGAAGAATTTGTGAGGATACAGTTTTGGTTTGTATTAATTTTAAGTATAAAATCTTTCCAGTTTAGACCAGGTCTAAGCTACCATGCAGAAGAAATCCGTTTAACAGTTAAGGCCCCAATTCTACAGGTATTTATGCACACGTTTAACTTAGGTTCATTACTAATTTATGTCATTCATGTGAATGAAAACATTCACTTCTTTGAAGTTAAGCATAGGTAGATATACTTGCATGACAAGCCAGATTACAATCGTAGAAAGAGTTGCAAAGCAGTATTTTGAGTGTTTCTAAGCATACAGTACTAAAATGTTATGTTATTAAACAGCAGGACAGAATCTGAGGGGGCCACTGAGGGGTACGATCCAGATGCTGGGGTGGTCTCTCCTAAGGAGGCCTCCTCCTGTGGTATAGGGTGATGTTCAAAGAACTTGGAGACAAACAGCAAACTGTGAGGCAAGAACAAAACAAAAACAACCTAACTTGTGCAAAACTCAGAAGCTTCACAATGTAACACTCAAAGATTGAAAAGAAAAAAAACACCCACACTCAAAAAACCCCACCTCACTGATCAAATTCTAAGTTTTAAAATAAAGACTACACTAACACATTAATCTGCAAGTTTTGTTAAAAATATTATTTACTTGACAAGGGATGAAAAGATCATGCCTTAAACATACTTTTGCAGAAAGTAATTTTTTAATCTTTTAATTGAAATTGCAAACATCTGGTTCCTCAAGAATACAGAACTTATACAGTACATGAACTTATTTTAATGTTTGCACTGATGCAATGCCAAAAACCAAATGTCAAATAGATAGAACTAAGTTATCCATAATCCCTGAGCACAAACTCTTGAGATGCCCAAGGAAACAGTTACAAATACCAACATAAGCAGAAATTACATTTATTCTTTGGGGGAAAAACTAGCATTTTAAATGATTCCTGTTATAGATGTCTATTTAAAAGCCTTAACAGCCTCTGCTGAAACCTATCAAATAGAACACAGAGCCAGTTTACACCAGGTCCTTAACATACATCAAAGACAAATAGATGAATAATTAAATTCAAGAACACATGACTGTTTGGGATGTTGTCTTTTATGTTTCTTACCTAGGCAAACTCATTAATGGATTTATTTTCAATCACTGTAAAGCCAACTGCAATTTCACCATATTAAACTAGTGTCTCAAAATTTTTTTCAGGTTGAAGAGAATAAACCCACATCTAACCCCACATCTAAACATCACGTAATAAAGAACCCGTTTTGCTTAAGAATAACAACTGTGAACAATGAGAAGTCTGTCTGATACAGTCAAGTGCTCAGCCACCCCATTCATGCTTCAAAGAAAGCATTTCATAGTCCAGAAAAAAAATATGAACTGGTTGTCTGAGCTAGCACAGAGAGAATATGAATTATGCAGTCTCCTGAGAACAGCTGAGCTCCTATATTTTTTCAGGCACCTCCTCTGACTTCCTGTATTACAGATTTAATGTAAGAAATCACTGACAGCAGTAAGCTTAATAAAAGGCTCAACTTTAAAACCAGTTGTGATTACTTACTCAAGTTGGTCGTAATTAACACACATCAGTGGCACTTCTGTACTACAGCGCTGGTGAAATTTGTAGCCGCATGTCTGGCACCGGAATCCCTGGAAAAGCAGCTTTCGACAGAAGTCGCAGAATGCTAACGTGAAGAATGTTTTTCGTACCTACATTGTCAAAAATAGTAATAATTTAAAATAGAGTCCTTCTGTAAGCCTAAGATAAGCTATTTCCTTCTACCTCCCTCAAATAGACTTACAAACCTCTTTTTTGATGCTAGATCTACAGTTTTACATATCAAACAGATTTACATAAAAGATTGTCTCCTTTTTGAAATAGTCTTCATGCATTAAAAATTTCTTTCAACTATTTATTGGAATTAATGCCTCACTTCATTAGCAGTAAGAAAAACAGCAAGAAATCTGAAGCAAAACAGTGCGCTATTATAATGCTAGAGACAAACATTCAGAATTTAATCGGATACAACCTACAAAAACAAAAGTTGCTGAAAGATTATCTCATCTTCTAATTTTTCCAGGAGCCAAAGGATATTTCTATCCAACACTCACAGCACTGGAAATACACATATGGCTTCTGTGTATGGCTACATATATAGTTGTAATTTTGACCACTGAAACTCAGAAACATTTAAAACCACAGAAGGGTGAACATTAATTATCCCTGTATTATAGAGGGGGGAAATTATTTGGTTTCATTTTCAAATTTAGCAATACTTGGCATAAAAAACACATTCTAGTTGTATTACTACATGTAATAATCAAAATTTCAGAAGGATATAAAAAAAATGTTAAGCCTACTAGACTTTGATCTAACTAGCCATAGCCAAACTTTGAGTAAAATAGTTTAAGCAGCTTGAAAAAAGAATTTTGAGGTTTTTATTTAAATAAAAGGTCTGTCTTCTCAATGTGACAAACATTATTTCCAGGATTTTGTATGTAGCTGGAACTGTTTAGACGAATTCTGTTTAGCAGCTTGCGTTTACTTGGTGCCTTATCAGGTCAAAACATATTTGTGCACTGGCATCACTGATGATGTCAGCACTGCTCTGGGAATAGTTAGTTCATTAGTTAATTGCTGCTGCAGAGCCAGCAGGGAGGCCCAGAATACATTTTATAGATACAGCAATACAAAAATAGTAGATTATTATTACAGCTCTGCAATGCAGTGCTGATTTAAATCCCCTACATTCAGAGATTTTTAGGAAGTGTATTCCATCCAAATGTGGAAGTTTTAAGGCCGATCAAGTACTTTAACATCACTTATTTCAATTACAATGATATCCAATTCACTTAAGCTCTTGTGATTAAAAACTTCTTTTGCAACCCCCACCACATCCCACAGATACAAAATATTATTCAAAGTTGTTAATCTGAAAGTACAAAGTTGATTTAACCCTACTCAACATTTCAGGAAGAAAAAAAAAAAAACAGTACATACAAAATTGTGTGTCGTGAGTGGCACATTCTCCAAGACTTCTACATGCAATTCCTCTCCCGTGAGCCAGGAAATGTCAGTGTCCCAGCCAATTGGCTTCTTCTCTCTAAAGCATAAATACGCCTTTCGTTAGTACCAGCGCACAAGCCCTTGCAGGGCTCCCGCTGAAGAC